GAAGGCCAACTTTACATTATCCTACTACCTTCCCTATGCATGAAATGCAGCAGCAGGTACTTTAAAGGAGAACTATGGGGTTAGGGCTTTCCCCCATAGTTCTCCTAAGGGTAACTAGCGTCCTCCCATCACCCAAAGCTCAGTATACCGCGAGCTACAGCTTGCGATATACTGAGACGCCGCAGCTGAAACGCATCCCGACAATTATGTCTGGATCCACCCAGCTGCATGAGTGACAGCTGGCTCTGCCTATCTAGAGGCAGAGCCAGCTGTGCCCGCCCCCTCCCGTTCCGCCAGTCAGCGCTGGAGGATCGGACAGGGGAATCCAGTCTCTCCCCTGCCACGGCTCTCTGCAGTGACAGGATCTGCAAGTGAGCGAGCGCCGGCATGTGTTCGCTCACTTCCTGATCTACTGAGCCGACCTGTGACAGTTTCATTGTCACAGGTCGGGTAGAACTATGAGGATGAGTGAAAATCACTCACCTTATAGTTCTCCTTTAACATAAGGAGAATTTTCTAATGGGCCATCGGAGTGTCCATTACGGCGTTTTCATAAGACAATTTATTCTTCAGGCCTTTTCATAGACAGTGTGAGGGGAGTATACCAAGACTGGAGCAGACAAACTATGGAGCAGCTGTGCATGCCAACCAGCTTCTATTTTCAAACCTTAACTGAACAAACTGAAGATAGAACCCGGTTGGTTACTATGCAACACTGCTCCAGATTCTGTAAATTACTTTTATAAATAGTTAAAAACATTATACATTTGTATAGAACTTCAAACTGTCTTTACATCACCCTTGTGTAATCATCACTGCAGCAGCACTCAGAGTTGGACAGGGCCCACCTATGCCTTCTGACGGCGAGACGGTGTATAATGAGGCACTGGAACTCTCCAATGGCCCCGAAGATAACAGATTACGAAGGATCTTAAACTGCTGATAAGGACAAACTGTCACGATGGAGATATTTTATTAGTAGCGCTTACTCTATGGAGGAAATTGATCAAGTTGTCAAGCCCTTCCGCTACACTAAATGGTACCTGACCAATGCCTTGGGGGTCCTGCAGATAGGCCAGGATTGACAACCTCCCTCGGAGGCATTCCTTAGAGTAACGGGGTAATGCTTGATGACACTGTATGAATACTTGTTTATAGAGGGAGCAGTGTTCCGAGTGCTCCATCCACCATGTATATGTTAATGGATGGATTGTTATGGCTGTGATCAACCACTGCATGGTATGTTTATTACTTTGAAGTGATGAGCTTTGTTTTACAAATGTAAAAATTGCTGAAAATTTAATAAAAAACATTTTTGGAAAAAAAATGGACGATTTTCACCATGTGCACATTTTGTTCCTACATTAAAAAAAAAGAAGGTAACAATGACAGAGTGCAAGGGCAATAACATAGTGAGAAGAATAAGAAGGATTTCTAACTTGCACTTTGCACAGTGCTCTTTGCTTCGTGGCTTGAAAAAGCCTCAATAGTCTTCAGTTTACATGCTCTCCCCCATTCTACAACTTCATAATATTTGAGCTTAATACAAGCAGAATGAATAAAATACAGAAAATTAATCCTCACGTACTCCTTCTTCCACTGGCTGGTCTTCTGCAGAGCAAGTGGACTGTTCCTTCTCAAACACCTCCTAGTTTATATGAAGAGACATACATTCATTACCTCACAGAGCAGAGCTTCCAGTATCTAAACAGTCAAGTTATAGTTAAGGTTTTATCTAGTATATGGCACATTGTAAAGAGAATGCCATAGCAGCACACAAACTGTGGAAAACGACACAATGGAAAACTCAATGTTAAAATACTACTTGTACATTAAAAGCTGCAAAGGCATTCAATGACTAAATTAATCATTCTAACACTAACGTTTTAATACACAGAATTTATTTTATCCAATGCCAACATTTTAATACACAGAAACTTAAAGCACTGGTTTACTTACCGCCATTGTTTGTCTTCTAAGTGTTACAAGGACAGTAACAAGTGAACCCACTGTAATGTTGTTACTGTCTTCATCATCTAGCACTGTGAAATAAACAATAACTTTACATGTAGCTCAGCCTTTCACATTACTCAACTTTATTCTGCGGTACCCATATCAAAGAGGCCAATGATATCTTAATACACGGGAATGAAGGCACACCAACAGGAGATAATGAGCAGACATTCTTACCCAAACATTCTAGCACAAGTTTGGCTTTAAGATTTAAAGGGAAACTGTATCTTTTTTTTTAATGCAAAAGTAAAAGTCCTGCCTAACAGCAGACCATACGTTGTCTGCAATTTTCTCAATCACAAAAGCTTCTTCTGAATCCCTCTCTAATTTACTTTCACTCTGTTACTGAGCCCCAACTTTACTGCACTTTATGGCTATACTACACGAGCTGCTACAGCCTTGTGCTGTAAGAGTTCCCTTACTGGCTACAGAGATGGACATAATTTATTTAAGAGCAGTGGGTACAAAATGACCAACTGTAATCACTTTAGGCCAATGAAGAGTAACCTACTGCCTGCCTTCATCTGTTCTACACAGTAAGGCTATATTGCATTACAGTATAGATTTATGGTATGAATGCTCTAGTGCCTGTGCATCCTTTCCATATGCACGTAAATAAGCCCATAACTGTTCTCCATTACTGTTAATATTGCTTTACACAGGCCTTTATACACTGGCTCTGTCACATGATCTGCCCCATTCTGTTGAGAAGACAGAAATTGATACACAATGGCTGACAAGTCATGAAGGGGGGAAACCAAGGAACCAATATAATGGAGTTTCCACATACCATGAGGCTTTATCTCCATTGTGATGTGAGGAAAGCTGCCAAGAACTGCTACTAGCTCCTCATAATTGCTGTCCTCCAGAAAGCTAAACAGCAGGCGACGATCCGACTCCTTCATGCTAACCAGGTCCCGAATTGTTTTGATTTTGAACTATTAGCAAGGAATAATAAAATCAGAGAAAACGATTGGTAAGAAAACGACACTGAATTCAATTTGCATTTTTCATTTGTTCACGTAATTAGCCCTTATGTATTATATATGCAGAGGGTGCGTTTGTATAGTTTGTAAAATATCTGAAAAGCGAAGTGTTTCTATGCTGTTTTTTAGGTTATGTTTTTGTAATTGACAACACAGGTAACAGTTGCTTTAAAAAAAACAAAAAACAAAAAACACCAAAACACATCATATAAAAATGTTGTCATAGTTATTAAATACCTGCATGCTTCTTGCTTGGCTATAATGCAACATAAGTCATGACTCAGGAAAATAAAATACAGTAACCAACTTTGACCACGGACCTTTTTGTGGTTAAACACTCGTCTCAGATGATCCTCTTCTATAAATGGTAACTGTAAGAATGGAGATTTAAATTGTTGGAGGCCTTGAACAGTCATCTGGCAGAGCTTCATACAGTTCTCCAGAGAGGCCAGTGAAGGTGGTCTGAGCTCCCGCTCTAAAGAAAAAGCAATTTGTTGTTATATTTTCACACGTTTAAAGATGGGGACAGACAGGTTAGGGTCAGATAGAATACATAGTGATAAAGAAGTGATTCATTTTGCCATTGTATTCAAGTATGCAAATACTAAACTTGGGGCACAAAAACTCATTTAAATATGCTACTTAAAAAATCCAAAGAATATAAATCCACTTTGCGTGCACAAAATGGCTTTGCAAACCCAGTTGTAACCTTGTAAAATTAGAAGTGACATCACAGTGCTTCGCATAGTCTGTGCAGAAAAAAGAACTGTGGGAGAGACCCAGCTGACACACCAACTACAGGTTGCCTGCACAAAACTACAGGAGGGGGTAGATACAAGATCAGTTACCCTGCACAAAGAAGGAAAGCAGGAGTGACGGGTCTTTATTACAAGAAGCCCCTGCACAGGGGCAAAGTTTTAAGCTGAATTACTGCACAGATCTACATAAACCACACCAAGTTTTAAGTTAAAAAAAGCATTTCTCTTGTATTTAGATAAAATTTACTTATTCCAGAGTTCCAAATGCCCACCAAGGCAAAAGTTCACTTTAAAATGTATTTTAGCTTCTGATGGCCACCAAAACCTAAAGCTGAAGTTCACTCTGCTTATATTTATCCTTCCCTGGTTCCTCCTTTGATCCCTCAACACATTATCAAACATTTTAATAAAACCTTCCCGTTTTCATTACACACCTTATTTTAGACTCAGTGATGACATGGGTTGTTGTGCTTCTCTATGCAATGTAGGTAGATTATGACTGGTGTGAGCGGCTGACAGGGTGCTGGACATAGCTCCTTGAAAATATCATAGCATCCTGCCTCAATACTGCTCTCTAAAGCCTTTCATCCTGATGCAACTTCAGGACAGTTCTTGAGAGGAGTTACACAAAAACTAAAACGCCTTCGTGGGTGTCAGTCTGGAGAAGTGGGTGTCCCTAGCAGGCTGCAATTGCATGCAGACTATACTAGGTAATGCCCCAGATAATGCTGAAAGAACTTACAGTGTGCAATGACATCTGAGTAAGCAGTCTCCGTACAGGAGTCTGTACAACTGAGCAAGACTAAAAGGCTGGGAGTTCAGATTTAAGCGATGACATTATGCTGCGCCTCTCCATTTCAGTTTATAAATGAATGTCAACCATCACAGGGATAAAGGAACCTTTCTTAACATAGCAGCAGTTCTACATGTGATTCATAGAGCAAAAGAAGAGGATTTTTGTACTCCCTGGAAAATCTTTTTTTTTTTTAGTTCAATGAGGACATGAGAAGTCATTTAGTTTGGGGCTTTATTGCTGCAGGAGGACTGGACACCAGCAAAAACAAACTGAAGGCCAGCCCAGAATAATCCTGTCTACTGCAGGCATGCCTCAATTTTATACCAAGCACTATGGAAAGCATGATCATAAACACAGAGGGGGTTTGAAAAGACTTTTATAGCAAGTAAAAAAAAAAAATACTGTCTTTTTAGTCCTTTGAGGGACACAGGAAGTCATTCACTTTTAGGACGTTCAAAATCAGTCCAGCTGAGGGGTGGGCAACACAGCAAATCCTAACACGCCCAAGAAAGAACAGGACTGGGGACTGTCTGCAGCTTAAGAGCTCCCTGAAGTGGAAATCAGAAGAACCCCGACCAGTCACCTGGTAGCAGAGGCGTAACCAGAACCTTCAGGGCCCCGGTGCAAGAGACCATGAAGGCCCCCCCAACCCTCCACCGCCATGGCACCGCATGGTTAACAGGCAGGCTGCCGAGGTCCCCAGCAAGCGCCCAGGCAGGCAGCTGCTTGTTTAAAATTTTAGTGCCTGTGTTCTGTCGAGAACGCTGACCCAGTATCTGTGCTTACGTACAGATTGGATTAATGAGGAAACCGGCATTTATTTACAAAGTATTAGTTTGTAATGGTTAATTGGGACAGTTAATAAAATGCCGTCCATGGCAGTAAATGATGGATGGCAGTGAATGAAGGATGGAATATTAACAGTCACAATTAACAATTTAAACAAAATACTCTGTGAACAAATCCCCGTTTCCTCGATAATACTGGTCTGTGCGCAAGCGCAGATGTTGAGGTCGGCAAATTCGACTACGTCGGCGTTCGACAGAACACCGGTATCGCATTTAGTATCGGGGCATTTTCACGAGTATGAGTACTTGTGAAAATGGCCAGTATTGGCAGTGGTGCATCCCTACTTAAAAATATAATGCATTGCTGGGACTTGTAGTCCTACATAGTTGGTGCTATTCTGCATTGCTCTATAATGATTGCACAGAGAATACCACCAGCTGTGAGTTGAGATAAAGTAAACTACCTCCACCAGTGCACGAGGGAAAATAATCATACATCCACCGAATATATAGATGCACAAACCAAACTCAGGGAGGGAAGTAGGCTTGCTGTCCTGGAAGATTCCTAGAAATCCCGTTATCGTTAAGTATATAACAGAACGTTTCTCCAACCATCTTCCAGGCCAGCAAACTGAGAGGATTAGTAAGCACACCCCAAGGATCTGGGCGCAGTGGTCGCCGGCTTGCTCTACTCTTCCATCAGTGCAACCTCACAGATGGGGCTAGCGCCTGGGACTTCAGGCCCCTTCTACCATGCCAAGAGGAAGAAGGACCGCCTGTTTGACGAAGAGGAGACCCCTCCGAACCGCAGCAAGGCTGCCGAATGTCTGAAGACTAGCAGTAGAGCTGCGCAGAGGGGGGACCAGCGATCACAAGACCGAACGGACCAAGAAAGAAACGCTGTACTCCTGGAGGTAGGAAACACACAAAAAACGAGTGGGTGGGAGGGTATTTAACCTCTTTTTGATTTGTGTTTCCTGTAGTAGGAGCAGCCAATCATTTTTCAGGTTGCTGGCCTGGAAGATGATTGGAGAAATCATGAATTTTAAAGGGCACCCAGCAATCCAATTAATAAGGTAGTTCCCGTGGCTATCAGATAGGCCTACTCACAAAGTAAGTCTTTAAAGACAGGGCAAGCAATGCACACTAGTATCCTATAAAAAGTAGGAATTTTTTTTCATAGAAAGGGGTTTAATTTTTTCAGATTCTGGTTTGGTTTTTTTATAGATGCACAACAGAAAAAAAAAAAAAGAAAAAAAAAAAAAAAAAAAAGAAAAAAAAAAAAAAAAAAAAAAAAAAAAAAAAAAGGTAAAAACACATTTTCAGAATGAAAGCTTAGCAATGGCTTACCACAATAATAAAATATTTACTAAATAATGTAAGCCAAGAGGAAAAAAGTCAAAGCGTCTAACATTTTCTGCTGTGATCTATATTTAACAGTCCTGGTTTGTAAATAAATCAAAGAAGCTGATTATTTGCCATGGACAACAACAAACAAACAGTCTCTTGGTTATAGAAATATCAGGATAAGGATGAAAAAAGGTAAAAGGAGGCAATAGATATCAATACCTTCCCCGTCCATATATAGCAGCTGTGCTGATTAAGTGGGAAATATTTAACTGACATAACTAAACTTACCCTCTCTACTACGAGCCATTATTATTAGCTGGCATATAACATTAACCATTTCCTGGAGCAGAGCAGGACATTTCTTCAAGATAAACTGCTGATCTGCAAGACCAAAAACTAAGAAAGATTAGCATACACACTCCAAACCTAAGGTTAGCTAATTCTGCACAAAAATAAATAAAAAAATATTGGAATACCTTCTTTTAGCGTCTCAGGTATTTGCATCCGTGACAAATGAGCCAGTAAAAGCACCCTTGCCTTAAGACTGTAGGGGCAGGTTAGTGGAGGTTCATTTTTCTTTAGATTGATGCCACCAAGCTCTCTTATTAGCTAAAGAAAACATACACACTGTCAGCAAAACCAAAATGCAGGATTTTAAAAAGGCAACATATATTCAAATGGCTATTATTACCTGAGGTATCAGCACATTATCTGCAGGTCTACTTGTGGCATCCTTATTATACTGGGGATCAAACTCCGATGCCCCTGCTAACACCATGATTAGGCCTAAGAGAGGAAGAGAAAAAAACAAGAAGGATTGAAAGACATACCGTGGCCGTTAACAAAAACTCTAAATACACACTGCAATGTAATGCTGTCCTCTCAAATATACTTACAGTAAATGTCCATAAATACTGTAGGTTCCCCAAGCCCAATTTTAACATCCTTTCTTATTTATTCACTATATAATGTCTGTAATTGTGTTAGCTACTGCTTGAGACTGAGTGAAGCAAATATTATTACATTTATAATAACTATTAGCCAGTAAAAATAGTATTCTATTGCCCCAATGGATGGCTTAGTGGATCCATTTCAGTAACTGATTTGAGCTCTAATCAATGTAAGGAAATGCAAACAGTATGCATAACAGCACTTGGTCACAGATTTCCCCTTTCTTTTTAATTCTATTAAATATTGCCCAAGAAAAGAACACAACAGCTTTTTATGAATAAGGACATAACCAACGTTCCTCAGAAATATTCACTGTGCTACATGTTTATAAGGAAAGTGATATAGATATTTCTATAACCAATCTATGGTAAAAGTAATCTTATACTATTTCTATCAATAGGCGATTATTTTTTAAAAACTCCCTCTTTATATTCACCAGCCTTTCTTTTTTATGTTATTGCAACTCTATCAGTCAGGTCTGAAGAGAAAGTAACAAGAGTCTTTAATAGGCTAGAATTTCCGGTCAGTAGTCAGGGAGCCTAAAGGTGCCCATACACTGTACGATTCTCGTACGAGAATCGCGGGAAATCCCGCGATGGTACGAGAATCGTACAGTGTATGGAAGGCGTGCGACCGTTTCTACTGTGCGGCCGCACGTCTTTTGTCGAACCAACATGCTCGAAAACCCGCCGAGAATCTTACGATTGTCGGCGGGTTTCTAGCCTGCTCGTCCGATAGCTGCGGAACGGGCCGATGTGCACACGCGCACACTGCCCGTTCTGCATTGCGGTCATCGGAAGCCCGCCCCCTCAGCGGGGCAGACTTTCGATGATCGCAAGTACGATCTGCCCGTCCAAGGTGGGCAGATCGTACAAGCTTTCAATAAGCATACGACCATCGCAAGACAAAGTCTTGCGATGGTCGTAAGGTGTATAGGCACCTTAAGTGTCTGCAGCAGAGAAATACAACTAGAGCATATACAGTGTGTATGCAAGCACACGTATATACAGTACTGTGCAAAAGTATCAGGCAGGTGTGAAAAAATTGTGTAAAGTAAAAATGCATTCAGAAATAAAAGTATTAGTTTATTTTTATCAATGAACAAAATGGAAAGTAAATGAACAGAAGAGAAATCCAATCGAAATTTGGGGTGACAATCCTTTGCCTTCAAAACAGCATCAATTCTTCTAGGTACACTTGCATACAGTTTTTAAAGGAACTTGGCATGTAGGTTGTTCCAAACATCTTGGATAACTTACTACAGATCTTCTGCGGATGTGGGCTGCCTCAAATCTTTGTCTGTTCATGTAATCCCAGACAGACTCCATGATGTTGAGATCAGGGCTCTCTGAGGGCTAAACCAAAGGTCCAACTCCATTGGTAGAAATGAAGCCCCAGACTTGCAAGGAGCCTCCACCATGCTTTACTGTTGCTGCAGACACTCATTGTACTGCTCTCCAGCCCTTCGGCTAACAAACTGAATCCAGCTGCAGCCAAATATTTCACATTTTGACTCATCAGTCCAGAGCACCTGCTGCCATTTTCTGCATCCCAGTTTCTAAGTTTTCTTGCATAGTTGAGTCGCTTAGCCTTGTTTCCACGCCAGAGGCAAGGCCGCAGAAAAATGGCAGAAGGTGCTCTGGACTGATGAGTCAAAATTTGAAATAGTTAGCTGTAGCAGGAAGTAGTTGGGTTCGCCGAAGGGCTGGAGAGCGGTACAATGAGTGTCTGCAGGCAACAGCAAAGCATGATGGTGGTTCCTTGCAAGCCAGATACTTATCCATCATGCCATACCATCAGGGAGGTGTGTGATTGGCCAGAAAATGTATTCTGCAGCAGGACAACGACCCCAAACATTAATCCAATGTCATTAAGAACGATCTTCAGCATAAAGAAGAACAGGGAGTCCTGGGAGTGATCGTTTTGCCCCCACAAAGCCCTGATCTCAACATCGAGTCTTTCTGGGATCACATGGAGGAGACAGAAGGATTTGAGGCAGCCTACATCCACAGAAGATTGAAGGAACCTACCTTCCAAGTTCCTTCAAAAACTGTGTGGAAGTGTACCTAGAAGAATTGATGCAGTTTTGAAGGCAAAGGATGTCACACCGAATATTGATTTGTATTTCTCTGTTTATTTTGATCAATTAACAAAAAATGGAAAGTAAAAAGTAAATGAACTACTAACACTTTTATTGCTGAAAGCCTTCTTACAGCGTTTTTTCACACCTGCCTAAAACTTTGGCACGGTGTGTGGGTTGTTTGTTGTGTTCTATCTATACACACACACACACACACGGGGGGACATGGGCAAATGCACCTATCAGCTTCTATCTTCCACTTTCAATGCTCAACTGAAGAGAGAAGCCGATTGGTTACTATGGGCAACTGCTCCAGTTTTGATAAAATACCCCTACAAGAGCGCACACAAAACACAATGGCAAAAAAATTGTACAACAAGCATGTAGCAAGCAATGCAAAATAAAAGTAAACATGACAATGACAAACTTTCAATTGTCTGCTCAATGAAAATATACCACAACCCTCCAATGTACTTAATGGAATTATTATTATACAGGATTTATATAGCGCCAACAGTTATCTTGCAACAACAATAAATATATGAAAGCTGTCATAACAGTTAAAATGAAAAACCAAAAGCTAATAAAACTAGAATTGTGGCTCTTAAATGGTTAAATATCCTGCATTCACAGAACAGTAAAGTAAAAGGCTTAAAAAAAAAACAAAAAAAAAAACATTATCATGTAGCAGGCTCACTCCTTTGCAGTAGCAAATTCACTCACGTTTCATATCCATGTTCCTTGTCTTATACACAAAATAAGTGTAGATCTGAGTGGTACGGATGAGGATCTGATCACCACTATAACGAATTGACTTATACCACCATGAACCCTGAAAAAGCAATTTTTTGCAATTAATAAAGTATATGACATGCTTTAGAAAGATATTTACCACCATGCATATACTTTTCAACTGCATCGTATATCTTCTAGTAGTCCTTGTAATTTTTTTATAAATATAAAATACTATAAAATCCCTAAAATCGGCAGAACTGAAGAACAAAAGCTATCACTAAGAGTTAAGCTGTAGAGCCATAAGAATCACTTGCAATAGTATGTTTGCACTTATTTAATAGATATAACAAACATTTTCAGTGGTTTATTTAACCAACCAAAAACACAACAAAATGCAAAGTTTGTCAGGGATTACATACTTTAAATGAAATGTCCATGATTAAATATCATATTCTCTCATCTGCCTCATCTCACCTGACCTCCTAGCAACGTTACTTCTACATTTAAACAGGGTGGTCTTAGTCATATTCAAAATTGACTAAAGCAGCCTTTCCCAACCAGGGTGTAGTATGCCTTCTGACTTCCTCAGGGGTGTTTCCCTGTCTCCAAATGTTGTGGTAGTGGGACTGTGATGTGAATGGAGGAATGAAGACTGGAGGTGAAGGGGGCTCCTGATGTAAAGGGGGAACCCGAGGGGGGGGGACTTCTAATATGAAAGAGGGGCTACTGATGCAAAGGGTGACTGATGTGAAGGGGGGGACATTTTGATTTGAAGGGGGCACTTCAATGTGAAGAGAAACCCATTATTTTGTGTGTTCTTGCATGGGGTCCCCCTTAAAATCTGACATTTTAGACTGGGGTGCCTTGGGAATTTGCATACTTTTATTAATGGGTGCCGTGACTAAAAAAAAGGTTGAGAAACGCTGCATTAAATGTTTACTACTGGAAGAAACACTTATAGTGTCCATTTCTCGTAACCTAATACATCAATTATGTTGCCTGCCAATTCCAGGAACTCTTCTTCCTTATAATAGTCAACCAGTAACAAAAAAACAAAACAAAAAAATCCATATTGCTAGGGCCCAAGATGTGAATGCAGTAAAACAATCACACAGATTTGAAAAGAAAACAAAAATTACATAAATCTGAAAAAAGGAGCAGAAGAATAAATCATATCTACATGCTAGTTTGCATATAAAAACAGTAAAACAAAATATAATCTTGTTGCTCACAATATGCAGATGCCTCCTCCAGTTTTCCAAGCTGCACTAGGAAAGCAACATTTCATTGGTTGTGATGGAAAAGACAGACATTTTCATTCTCTCTCCTTCATGCCATAAAACGAATCTTTCCCATTTTTTTTAATTGAATACATCTAATAATTAACCAAAATTTCAATGAAACTAAAACGATCTCTGATACATGTACATTATAATTTCCAAATGTACTTTTATGTTAAGAGTAAAAAAAAAAAAAAAGGCCCTGCTTTAGAGGCCTAAAATGACATTAATGTGCCTCAGTGTTAAAAAGCAAAAGTTAATCATGCAGATGGAACTGCCTGTGCAAATGTCTGCCATCTGTTCCGGTTCATTAAAGGCACTAACAATTCCTACTGTTTTTAGCTAGAAAACAAATTCTTCAAAAGTATAAAAAAAAGGAATGAAATGCCTTGCCAAGATTGAGAATCACTCCATTCAGCTACAATGTGCAATATTTATTCATTCTATGGGTATCACCATATCTGTCGCTCATAATCACAATTACAGGTTTCAGCATCTCCATTACAGCACAAGAATGACCGAAGGGAATCACCCACCTTAACAAGAGAGGAACGGGGGAACAAAACCCGTAATTCCTCCTTCTAGTGCTAGGTAAGGTTTTAACTCAAATTCTTGAGTTAAAACATCCCCTAGTACTACAGTCCTTGAGTGCCTCAATGAATACAACATTTCAAGACCGGTAAACACACAGGAGACACAAAGGAGGGGGAAACTAGCACATGCTGACACAAACTAACTGTTACCAGTAGGGATGCACCGATAACGATACTAGTATCGGTGCCGAGTATTTGGGGAGTACTCGCTCTCGCCCAAATGTTCCGATACTTGAGCTACCAGTATCCAGAAGCAGGCCAGCGAGTCATTACACACTGTCCGGCTTCCCGATCGGCTGGCTCCATGAGTATCGAGCCGGCTTCCTGGTTGGTTGGGAAGCTGCCCAATCAGGAAGCTGGGCGCCATGTAATGACGCCGCTCCCGGCTTTCTTAATGGCCAGGAAGCCGGCTTCATGCTCCCTGGTCACGAAAGAACATAGAGCCGGTTTCCTGGCCAATCAGCCGGCTTACTAGCTAATCAGGAAGCCGGGCACCGTTTAATGACGCTGCGCCCGGCTTCCTGATCAGCCAGTAAGCCGGCTCCATGCTTTCTCCTAGTGATGAGAAGCAAGGAGACGGCTTCCTGGCCAATCAGGAAGCTAGGAAGGGAGTCATTACCACGCCGCCTGGCTTCCTTAATGGGACTTCTGGGATCGGTATTCGTTATCGACGAGTACCGGAAAGAAGAAAAATTATCGTTACTCGTACTCTATACCGAAAAAACGGTATCGGTACATCCCTAGTTACCACCATGCTTAATTTCGGTTTTCCCCTATGTTCCATGACAGCACAGTAAGCAAGCAAAGATATGCAATATATATTACATATGGGAGGGCAGTCAAAGACAAAATGCCATATCCAAACCTAGGGCCTGCTTCGGTAGTCAAATCCAAGCTGCAATGTCTAACAAAAAGTGTAAAAAGCTTAACCACATGGATTGACAGAATTAATCTAGTGGCATTGCTGCAGCCTCTGCCATCACCCTGGTGGAATGTACTCGGAAACCAGTTGGTGGCTTTTTTTTTTCTTTTTTAAGAGCAACACAGGCCATGGAGTTTGTTGCTTTTGTCCACCTTGCTACTGTAGTCTTTGAGGCATTTCTGCCCTTGTTTGTGCCTTGGAAATGTACTAGTAAAATTTTATCTGTACACCAGGATGTATTCCAATATCCAGAAGGTGATGTCCTTGTTTGCACTGGATTAGCTTAGATAGAATCATTTCTTGATCCCTGTGAAATAAAGAATCAACCTTGGGAATAAAAGTAGGATCTAGCACCACAATCTTGTCTTTAAATATGGTGCAAAAGATGAAACACTGCTCCAAGGTCTTTTCAATTCAAATTCAAGGGTGCCAGCCCTACTAACAGCCTTTCAACTATTCAACAATAGTTGAAAAAGGATAATCACAGCACAAGTCATCAGTGAAAGTAAACCCATTTATTGCACAAGACGATCAAAGCACATGTCCGCCTAGGTCCATGCTCTTATGTGTTTCACCCTATTACCGGGCTTAATCATAAAGAAAAGAAAATTAAAATACGATGAAATTAGAGTTTATGGATTGTAGAGGCCTGAACTTCTCCAATTCTTCTAGTTGTAGTGAGAAACAAGAGGAAACAAGTTTTCAGAGGAAAAATGTGATAGACATTTCAACCAATGGCCCAAAACTGAGAAAAATAAGTGTTTTTACTACTAAGGAAAGGTTCCATAGAGCAAACATTGAATGAGGAAACAGCTTTCCTTCCAAGGATACAAGGCTAGTCTGCTTTCATAGAATGCCTACTTGAACTTTCAACATAGTGGGCTGTATGCCTTTGTCTAAACTGGTTTGCAAAAAGACCAGAATCAAAGCAAGGTCTAATATGTGGAGAAATTACTTGACTGCAGAAGGCAAGACAAGTCTTCCAGTTACGATTGTATTTCTGGAGGTACCCACCATTCCGCTGGACTGCATAGTAGTTATTACTTTGTTGGATAGTCCTCAGGTTTGACAGAGACCTAATGGAGACCTAATGGAGACCTAACGGAGAAAGACGTACTGGGCCTTGCTGAAAAAGTTTCGGCTGAAGGGAGAGCACCAAGGGTTCTGTTGCTAGCACACATTTTAGAAAAGAGAACCTTACCAGTTTTGGCCGGACTGGAGTAATCAAAACCTCACTTTATTAAATTACTTTTCTTGTGTGCAAGGCGCTATGACTAGGAAGGAAAAACCATGGCTTTGTTTCACCCACTGATTCTTTGAAAGGGCATCTCTGGGGAGTCAGAAGGATTCAGAGAATAAAATTGGGTGACTTTACTGTTCTTCTTAGTTGCGACTAATCTTGTCTGATACTTCACTTTAGGGGATGAGAATCCAGCCTTCTAGTAGGTCTATTTCAAGCCTTTAGGATATGCTGTTGGAGAAAAACTAATATGACACTTATCACAAAAACTAGCCCCTGGGACTTGGAAGTGAATGTTCTGTACCCCAAGTCCTCTCCCTAGGATCATACCCTTACCTCAGTCACCGCTTCAGGAGCTTCCAAGTAGGATAAAAAAAAGGGGCAACATAGATCAATTCTGGAGGAGATAAGCAGGCGAGACACTGCACGTTAGACAACAACAGTGTCCTGAGAAGGACAGCACAAAACTGAGGCACTCTGGGAGGAGTTAATATATGGACTCTTCCGTTTCTGCCTGTTTCTTGTTCATGTGTTCCCTTGCAGCACATAAGGAAACAACACTGCATTACTGTTTAAACAAAAAAGTTAGTATACTAGAAACGTGTATTGTAAACTTACCACAACAACTGGCAGGATAACCATGAAAGCCAGGCCATATACAAACAAAACCTATAACAAAATAATATGGAATCAGTTGCACAACCTCATGGAGAATCACTATTACAGTTTCAAAGACAATTGGAAATCCAGAGAATAGCATTTAATACAGAACAAGCAAAATACTATCAAACATAAATCTAATACATAACAGTAATATCTTAATTAAAAAAACAAAAAAAAACTAATATTGGATTTTAGTTTACACTTATCATACTAGATAAATTGTTTGATTTATCATTGGCTTTGCAATAGTAAGTTTAACTCATTACCAGCATAGAATTTTTTTGGTCCACAATCCAGGCAGGCAGTGCAATGCCAAAATTCGTAGCTTTAAAAGAGTAAGATAAATAGAAATTGACATGTTTTCAAATTACAAAAGCATTTGTTTTTTTATAAAAAGGTGTAAAAACTACTAAAAACAAAAAGTAATGCCAATAATAATTTACTTTTAGAATACAGAATTTATGTTTTATAACAAAGGATGGTAGAATGATACCAAAAACAAAGTATAGTAGTTTACCCTGTGGCCCATCAGGATTTCCATATTCTTCCCAATTCTTTCTCGACTGTTCATCTGTTAAACTAGAAATGAGAAAAGTATTTATACATGTTCAATACATTACTCTGCAGAGAATCAGCATTGCTATTGACAGATTCTGAAACTGAAATTAAAGAGTGATGGGTGCTCACTGAAGAGTATAGCAGAACTGAACACAAAAAGAAGATTTGCTGTGTTTAGCACCCTGGAAAATGTACCCTTTTTCCTCCTTAAAAAATAGTGCACTTCCTGGTATGGGAGGGAGTTTAGGCATGCCTACAGCCTAATACCTGTATATCTGCAATGTGAGATTAAGGCACTGCTGCATCCGACTACTACTCGGAAATCTGGAGTGAGATTGGGTGATGTCATTACTGTGCGGCTCATTGTTATTCTTGCTGGAGGTTCTGACATGAGAAACCACAGATAATGCTGGTGACTAGTCCTGGATTGGACTGGATTTCTTTCACTGGAGTCTGTAAGCACACAATATTTGACACCCAACACACCACCCCTCTAGCTGGATTTATTTGCACAAAAATATTTTCTTGTTTTACTGGTCTTTACCTGCTTCACAATAATTATAAAGAGTGTAAATGAACTTATATAAAAGAGGACTTCTATACAGGCCTACTAATGATAAATCCACCCTTGGCCATGGGCTTTTTATTTTCAACTGTTCTAGGTATGTGTGAATGAAAGCAGTGGTTTGAAATACTTACGCTGCGTAAGCCTTTGCTATCCTCATAAACAGAACTTCATCTCCTCCTTTATCAGGGTGGAATTTCAGAGACAGTAAGCGGTATTGTTTCTTAATTTCAGATACTGTTGCTCCCTGCAAACAAAAACCATGTTACACAAACTTTCAAGGGCTCGACAAAGATTTATTACATATGGGAAATAATTTGCTACAATTCACAGTAGGCAGATGGCCTATTTTAACGCAACAGAACAAAATGCATATACTCCACACTTTTAAATCACAGAATAAAGATGAATAAACCCAAAAGTATGCACACACACATGGACTTAAAGTTAGAAATGTTCAGTTACTTCAATTTTTACATTATAGAGTTCCTAGTGATGTAATAGACAAGCTTTCCAAATACAGAATCAGGATTAGATTAAAAGACACGAACAGACAGACATATTATATAAAACTTTTTCAATAATCGATTATGTCGATTAGTTGTTGCAGCCCTACTCCCGAGCACCGTTCAAACCAGCCGAAAAGCGTAACATTTTCGGCTGGTTTTCTAGCATGCTCCTTAGACAAAAGACGTGCGACCGTACAGTAGAAACGGTCGCACTTCTTCATTCACACTGCGCGATTCTCGTACGAGAATCTGCAGTGTATGGGCACCTTCACACACACACACACACACACACACACACACACACTTAAAACTCAAGGTTATTTATTACCATTCATCCAAAATTGAGTAACTTACTGGATCCAAACCCAAAACCTCATATGGGTTGTATTCTTGATATTCTTTATCTGTTTTGGAAACTTTGTAGGCAAGAAAAATGAATATAGCCCATCCCAGAAGCAAAACTGCTTTCCTGTAAAATTGGACATAAAGAGAAACAAAATAAACATACACTATTAAAAGCAAAATGGTGTACCAAACTATTACGAACTATGATCCATACACACAGGTTATGGAATCTTTGGTTGGTTCTGCCTAACTGTAGCTGCATTTATTGCATCCAATCCACACAGCACTTCTACATGCTATATCAACAAAGAGATCTTTTCTCTCTATGGTGAATGCAAAGGTCAGTTTGTTAAAATCAGATGGAGTTCGGGTGTTGTATGCTGTGTGTCAATATTGATCATCTTCATTCTATACTGGCCATGTATATTTTACAGATGTCTTTTAAGAAGTTATGCATTAACTCCTTTTTTTTTTTACATTATTAACCAACTCTGCTGCTATGGTACCTGGAAATAAAGAAATTATGATCTGAAGAGCAGAGCGAAGATATGTTGCGGTGTTAATAATGTTCATTATTCAATTATGTGTCAATTAATACAGACACATGCATGGTGACACAGCCACACTCAATTGGAGGCATCTGCAAGCAATGATGGAACACCTGACCATCATGCCTAAATGAGCTTGCTAGATACCGCCTCCTCATTTGTGGCTATAACAGCCTACAGGACGCAAGTGACCAGCCCGCACAGTGTGCTTGGTTGTTATGGTGCACCAACCATAACAACCTATACTGTGTTTAAGGAAGCACATATCGGCTATACGAGATTCAGGGCCGACACTCCAGACAGGGGGCAACCAAAAAAAGACCCATCCTCTTCAGGAAAAGGCTTTTAAATGTTGTGCTATGGGAATGCCAAGAAAAAGAACTAGGGTAAACATCAAGACACACTACTCAGACCTGGTATATCTGAGGGGTGCTGAAAGGACAAATCCTTATCAGCAAGAGAAACAACCAGAACGGATTCATGTGGGCCCCGTGGATCTGGAGATCCCTCGCTAGAGGGGTAGGACAGATTAGCAAATACTAAGGGCTCAAAATTACCCATGTATAGGAAGTTAGCCTTTAAGGAGGGCTGCAAGTTCAAGAGGGGAACCACTTTTGAAGGTAGGTTCCTGCCAAGAAAGGTAGGAAAGGACCCAGACATATCCTTAAGAATAGCTTCTTGAGAGAATTGATGAGGAACAGCTGGACAAATGGTAAATTTGAAGCTTAATTGCTCACGGACCCAGCTGGATGAACAAATAGCCCCCACTTAAATATGTGGGGATGCACCTTGATGCAGTTGAATTACAGGGCTTGAGGCTCTCTGCCCTATGGCTTGATTGGAAGCCTCAGACTGTCTACGTGCTACTACTGCTGTAGTGGATGAAAGAGAAGGGTAGTTTCCCCGTCCACTGAACTTCCACATTAAGGCAAGAGGACATTCCGGCCACCAGAGGCCTTGCTAATGACAGTGTCAACAGCAGGTCTGAAGAGGTGAATATTCTTTGGATGTATTATCGGCATTCCCAGGCAATTAACTAATTTGACCTATGCATGTCAATAGAGTTTAGCACCATGCGGGAAAAACTTATATGCTTGCAACCGCCATCATAGTTGAAGCATACGGCTCCAGACATTTGCTCCAAACTTTCAACGAGGGCCTACCCTGGCAATGTCAGGGTCCTCTTTGGTTTAAGTTACTTAAAGTGACAGTTTTACAAATCAAGGCCACAACCAATACAGGAGCAAAGTCATCCCGCCTACATCAAACTGGGATTTAGGTAGGGGATCCAACTCTGTCAGAGAAATCCAGATAGGTGAAAACACAATCAAATCGTTTAGTAGTATGCCTGTTAATGTGAATTACTGGAGCATCTACAAAGGGGGAAAGCCCACTGAGTAGTAAATTCCCTCTTAAAGGGGAAAAGCTCCACCATATTCTCCAGAGAGGCCCTGGATGCTACAGTCTGTTCCTAGTCCTTATAAAAAAGAATGACAAACTGTGGATGTAACCAAAAGGTGTTTGAAGCTGTAGGATCTCTAAAAAGACCCTAGGCCGGAAATAAGCTGATCCACCAAATGCAGGGTAGTGTAGACAGCATCAGCTAGGTTAGAAACAACTCTTTGCAAGTCATCTGCAGGTGGCTCAAAAACAGGCTCTCCTTCAGGTAGACTGCGGAATCGGAGATTAAGGGCCTCGAGTAGGAGGCCCAGAAAGATCAGAGCTAGACTCGGCAATGATGCAGGAGTGTACTTAGAGCAGGGGAGCCCACAATTTTTTTTGTGTTAAAGTAGCATTAAGGTCTGGCAGTTTTTTACCTTCTCTGCATTAAGGTAAAAATCGCCTAGTACTTTTTTCTCTCCCTCTCCCCCTCCACACTTGCCTGTCAGTAGCTTGTCACCATCGCCCCTCCCGAAGCAATCCTCCATTCCCCATTCTTCCTGGCTGCGTGGGGAGGATACTGATGGCACTGGAGTTATAGGCTTCTTCTGCCTTCAATTAGAGGGGTGTGGCCTGTCACAGGGTTGTGTGTGTCTATGAACACACACAGCTACTTTGGGTACAAGTACGCATGGTGCTTCCACAGCAGCTGCTTAGCTGATGGCAGCACCCGTGCAGGTGGCAGGGGAATGAGCGCTGCAGGGCCGCAATAGAAAATGAGGAATTACCATTTTTGAAAGAAAACCAGATTTAGTCAAAAGTTGGTAACGAAAAAAAAAAAGGATCTACGAGGAGAGACAACCGGGAGGGAGAGCGAAGAGAAACGGACGGGAGGGCCGCCGCTCTCCCTCCTGGCCGTCTCACCTTTCAGAGGCACTGCAAATCTTCCGAAACTTTTTACCTGCTTCCGTGCTCTTCATGCACACTGTCCTTATCCTCCGCAAGTGCTAGCGCGGCCAAATGTGTCTGACACTACAGGCTGGGAGAGTACGGATGCCCCTCCCTCTCTGCAGCTTCTGACACATTCGGCCACACTAGCACCATGGGAGGGAGCTCGGGACAGCAAGCTAACATTGCAATCTACCAACGTTAGCTTTGTGAACAACTGGTAGATTGCAATCATCCTAATGGGCACCAATGCACTAGATCATATTTTGTCAATCTGATTTTTCACCCAACTGACTGAGATCTGCTGTTTGAGGATATTTCTCCTAAATTGTCTATTACTAGAGCCAAAACTTATGAAACCTCTCTACAACTTATTGATATGTATTCTATTTGTCAATCATATGGTTGTGGCATGTGTTTATTTGCTTCCAGTTACATTCATTGTAAATAAATCAAACCTTACTGTGTTGGTTGGCTTAGGGCAGCGTATCGGTGGAATGGAGCCAGTACTGTGTGGCCTCTTTGGACAGCAACAATGTAAAGCTGGGGATGGTGTAGGACTCAGTGTTTTGCTTCTCTCGTGCTGGCTTTGTAAAGAGCCTTTGCCTTCATAGCTTCCCTTATGGGGATGTACTGGAGCTGAAATTCTCTTGTTTGCTGCTTCCACCTCACTTCCAAAACTATGTCAAGGGGTAAGGGACTTCCTCTTTTTAATGTGGGATGGTGGAGATTCAGCATGAGAGCAGCAGCATTTGGATGGAGGGCTGGACACAAAAGGAGAAGTATGGGGCCTAGCTTCCAAGCTCTTCATGCGCGAGGTGCTAGTTCAGCTAAATGTGTCGTGCAAATCGTGCCCATCCCCATCTGCAGCATTCTACATATTCGGCCGCACTAGCACCACTTGCGATCGTGATCTACCAGTGTTAGCTTTGCGAATGACTGGTAGATCGCGATCAACCTATTGGGCACCCCTGGCTTAGAGCCTCTGCAAGCAAATTGATCTAGTAAATGGGCACAGACAACAAAAGGTGCAAAGTGAATGCAGAAGCTCCTGTGGACATGCAGCTGACGAAGAAACCTGCTATTGGGATTACCTTATAATAATAGGGGACCTAGGTTCCAGATTACAAGTGTCAGTTCCTTCAAAGGGTACCAGGTAAACACCCAAGAACCCGTAGAGGAGTATAGATTAAGATTTGTAATGCCTTGTACACACCATCCTCCGTGCGTTCCGGCCCTATTGTGTCTGGAACGCACTGGAAAACATTACTGTGGTAAGGTGGCAGTGGCAAGAATTTTGAAATGGCTCCCAAAAATACAAGCCTTTCATCAGAGACTGGGTTCCACCAGATGCTGTGCCACAGGGTGGACCTGGAAAATGCAGGAAAGAGGCCAACATAACCAGTACACAAAGGTCTGGAAAGTGCCACAACGTAGAGCCCACCCAAAAGTAATATATTTTACAGTGTTCAAATTTCCCCCCAAACATGCATGCACCCCTGACCACCTTTGTTCCAGAAGCAAATGGCCACTGCAGGATCTCACAGACAATGTGCCTGAGGGTGTACAAGAACCTGCACCTGGTTTACCTCTTCAACATCTATCAAAAACAACAAAAAATACTAAAAAACACATGTATAACTAAATATGGCACTTACTTTATTGTGGGGACTATATTTTGCTGTGGCTTGATTGACCTCAGTTGGTACCATAAACAACTTCTATATACTTGACGTATGCTTTTCAATCTTGATTGTTCTAAAATAAATATATACAAAAACTTGAGTTTTAGGTTCACAGTTATGCAATGCTACAGAATTATAAAAATAAAAGCAGAACAAATAAATGTGTACAAATAAAGTGCCCAGCTCTACGAAGATTTAATACATTAAAGTGTATGTGCAGAGAAGAGTTTAAAAAGTTTTTTTTACCATCTGTGTACCACTGGGCTTGAGTGGGAGCTGATAAGGGCTGCGCAGTTAAGATGTGTTCCCTTCACATCTTCCTTCAGAGACGCAACAGAAAGTAAGAGCGGGCTCAGGTGCCCCCAATAAAACATTCTCTTAATGTTATTTTGGGGACAACTCTAAAATGATGGACATCCCCTCACTTTCTCTCAGTGACAATGTTCAAATAAAGAGGTGAATCTATGGAAAAGGAGAAGGTGGATCCCATGTTTGCCATATGATGGGACATATTAGGGATGCACTGATACCTATCATTTGGGTGAGTACTCGTTCGCCCCCCAAATGCCCCGATACTGGAACTTCTAGTCAGAAGGAGATTTCCGCTGACCAGCAGTGCAGAGATGGAACATGGAGTAGGCTTCCCAGCCAAACAGCATGAAGCTGGCTTCCCGGGCAATCAAGAATCTGGGCAGCGGGTAATGGCATCCTGCCCGGCTTTCTGATTGCCCGGAAAGCCAGCTTCATGCTACCGGAAGCACCGGTAGGGCGAGTACCAAAAGATAAATAAATCGGCACTTGTACTCGATACTGAAAAACTGGTATCGGTGCATCCCTAAGACATATACCATATGTTGCAAGCCATGTGGCATGGAATGGTCCTTACACTATAATTATATGACACAAATTCAAACTAATGATTATTTTCATAATTGACTAGTTGGCAGATTATTTCTGTGTATGTAGCCATTTAACCTTTTTTTTTTACCATGACACACTTCTATTACTATTTGAATGTAAAAGACTGGAAAAAGTTGAACGTAAAATGTGTAAATGTTTGAACAAGCCTGTCAGTCGCTATTTAGTAACCTCTGTAGTCAGAAAGTACCAAATGTTTCTTGTAACCAGCTGTCTTTCTATACTTTAAGAAATGTTCCCACTATTACCCACTCTTCCTTGAAGAATATTTCTGGTTTGAAAAAAAAAAAAAAAGTCTCAGGTTGTTTTGTATGAAACCAATGTGAGTTTTTTTATTAATAATGACATCTGATGACTGAGAGCTATTCCAGGCCCATTAAAGAAGAACTACGGGGTAAGCGTTTCCTCCCATAGTTCTCCTCAGGGTTACGGGAGGACATAAACTAGCGTCCTAGTATATCGCGAGCTACAGCTCACGGTATACGGAGACTGCCGCAGCCGGGACGGATCCCGACATTACTGTTGAGATCCACCCAGCTGTGTGATTGACGGCTAGCTCTGCCTGTATGGAGGCAGAGCCAGCTGTAACCACCCCCTCCCCCGTTCGTTCCTCCAGTCAGCGCTGGAGGATCGGACAGGGGAGGGGGGGGGGAATCCCTGCAGGGAGCCGTGAGTGACAGTCACGGTTCTCTGCAGGGACAGGATCGAGAAGTGAGCGAGCGACGGTATGTGTTCGCTCACTTCCCGATCTATTGAGCCGATGTGTGACAGTTCACTCACCTCATAGTTCTCCTTTAAGCAAACCTATGCTTTGCCCATGCAGAGCAAGGAAAAAGGTTTACTATAATGCCCCTTCCCCAGCAGCATATATTCACCTATCCTTCAGTGACTCCAAATTACCAGGTACATCTGGGTATGAAAGAGCATGCAATGAGAAGAGAAGAGGTAGGGGGAAGAGAAATAAACCCAAGTATATGCTGCTGGCAAAGGAGGCATTAAGGTAAACCTGTTGTGTTGCCCTTCATGGGTGAAAAAGAGGCTCATTTTAAAATCCTTTTGTTTCTTGGTGTAGTTCATGCTTGATTTCTGAACACTGTCTTCTTAGAATACTAAAGTATCAGCTTCAACTTCTTCACTCACTGCAGGACAGTTTATCCAGGACAATAATGGTTAGAAGTGTATACCACCCCTAACAAACTTTGCTTCGGGAGTTTGCAAACATGGCTAGTCTGGGAAAAGTTCCGATATTTCTAGGTGTTGCAAAACTTGCCATAATATGAACAGTTCCCTTACCTTAATTCATGAATGACATTCTGATAAGTGGATATCGAAAACAGGAAGCATTCATTCAGATATCTTTTTATAGCATTCCTCCGCCTAATAACAGTCAATTATCTTGATTTTCACATGCTTATTAAGTGCATACATTAAGATCCTGAACTATCTTGATCAAACCAGATTAAGATGTGAATCAGGAACTCACTATGGATAGCAGATACCTCCAGGTCCCTACACATCAAATTCCTTTTCACGTAGAGCAACCCATGACACCTAACATTTAGAAATCTCTGATATGCAAAGAGCAACCAGCTTCCCTGGTTGCTGGTTCTAGCCCTTAGCCCCAAGTACAGAAAATACCTGTTCATCTTACAGAGATGCAATGTCCTTGTAACTTCTTGTGTACTGAAATCACAAACAAGCTATCTTCCTTTCAAGCTAACTTCTGTAAATGACACATTTTCTTGACCCCCAAATAGTGGACATGGAGAGAGGCGGACATGTGCAGTCCAAATCAGAAAAGCAGCATATGGTGACAAAACTGCTCCCTCAATAGATACAGTGTATGCATCTACTCAAGGACTGGATGCGTGTTATTTAGAGAAGGGCAGGTAAAAGAACAGAAGAAAGTCTGAAAAAAGAAAAACTAATGCAGCTACCTCAACTAAAGGTGCCCATACACTGCTCGATTCTCGTACGAGAAGCGGGCGAAATCCCGCGATCGTACGAGAATCGGGCGAAATCCCGCGATCGTACGAGAATCGAGCAGTGAGAACGACGTCTTGTCGAACCAACATGCTCGAAAACCCGCCGAGAATCGTACGATTGTCGGCGGGGTTCCAGCCTGCTCGTCCGATAGCTGCGGAACGGGCCGGTGTGCGCACGCACACTGCCCGTTCTGCATTGCCGTCATCGGAAGCCCGCCCCTCAGCGGGGCGGGCTTTCGATGATCGCAAGTACGATCTGCCCGTCCAAGGTGGGCAGATCGTACGGGCTTTCAAGAAGCATACGACCATCGCAAGACAAAAGTCTTGCGATGGTCGTAAGGTGTATGGGCACCTTAAGACAAGTTGAAATATAACATTTTTGTGTTTAGATATGCTTTTTTCCCCCCACTCTGTTAAAATTCATTAAATAGTCACAATTATATATAAATATAATACATATATACACACACACACACACACACAACCTGTAGTAACAAAATAATAATAATCAATAACAAAAAAATCAAAGTATTTTGTGCTACTCTCTAATACCAAACTATTCAGCACTATTCAAAAACAAAAGACAGAAAAATGATGCTTGCATCAATGTGCATAGGTCACTAGTAAAGACACAAATTACATCTATAGTATGTGGAGGTCAATCACGATAGATAGATAGATGCAATATATCTATAGACTAATATGGTTATATGAATGATTAGTAAATAAATTACAACATGAACACTAGTAAGAACATCATCTGAAAATAATCAGGTGATATCCCCACAGTCCAACATAAGTAATAGTCTAACATAAGTCCAATGTCAGAAGTGTCTTCTAATTAAGACAACCAAAATCATTTTTTACAAAACGTGATCCCAGCGAAAGCTTTCCCTCTCATGTGGGCTAGATCTCACCTTGAGAGACACTTCTGACATTGAACTTATATTGGATTATTACTTATGTTGCATTGTGGGGATATCACTAGATTATTCACAGACGATGTTCTTTACTATTGTTTTCAGTTTTGGTAGATTGATTATACAAATTGCACTTTATTAGTACATAAATATAATGTGAATGCTAGTAATTTATATAACCATTGTTATTTATATGCATTTTTGAATTTTTATTGACTTGGTTGAGTTACAATTCACTCCTTGCAGTGGTTCACATCTTCAAAACATGTAATTCAACCAGGGAAGTCCTAACCTTACCCTTTTCCCTGCTGCTGTGAATTGATAAAGACACAGAACAAAAATAGGAAGTGCAGTACAACAATTGCATATAGTAAGACATGTAACAAGCTGAATAATATCCACCAGTGTGAATTACTGCATGGATTTTGCTAAGGCCTTGTTCACACCAAGCGCATAGCAGATCAGTTGCCGACCTAATCAAAACCGCGTCCAATGTATTCCAATGGTATTTCTTGCTCCAGTTCACATCGCCACATGCAGTTCCAGAGCAGGTGAAAAAACTGCAGCAGGCCCCATTTTACCTGCTCTGGAAACGCATCAAAAACGCACGCAAATGCCTGGAACGCACTGAAAGCCCATTTTAAAAAAAAAAATTTGTTTCGCCAAAAACGCGTCACAAACGCATCTAAAAGACTAGTGTGCGTGTGCAGAAACCTGACCGGATCTGCTCTGCATTTGGTGTGAATAAGGCCTAAACGCCTACAGAGAAAAAAAAAAAAACTTTCAGCAAACTTATGTTTGTTCTAGAAAACCTTGTTTCCATCTATAGTTTGTAAACACATCTGTTCAAAGTGGTATCCATATTTCTTAATTTCACATGCATGCAATACTACACAGTTAGTATTGCTGAACAGTAACTGTGCTTTACTTGTCCCTCATCTTAGTACGAGAGCACTCAAACTGGCTGCACAGATTTTTTGAGGGTGAATATCTACTGCACATTCACCAGTGAATGCATTAGTAAAGCACAAGTAAAAAGGTGTCGACATTTTTTTTTTTTCCCCAATAAAAGAAAAAAAAAAAAAATCAAACAGTGAAGAATTCTGGGCATAATTATTCCTAAATCCTTGCAGTGGGGCTACCCCTGCACTGCAAGGGTTAAGTGCTCATTTTCATCACTACAGCAACGGACTGTCCCCCGGCGTCCTCACGTTGTATACACTGTGATACACGTGATGACTCATAGAATC